CCTGCCCCCTCCCCAACTGTACTGTTCCTTCCCACCTGTTTATCCCTCACTTTCCCTTCTGCCCCCTTCTCTCCCATCCCTTCGTCCTAATTCACTCCCCCCTCCTCCCCTTCTACCTGTCCCCTCCCCCCACCTCCCCTTCTACCTGTCCCCTCCCCCCACCTTCCCTCCTGCTCCCCACTTCCCCTCCTCCCAGGGCTGCCCCGTCACACCCCTTCACACATTCTCCTGTCTTCCAAGCAGGGTGGGTTCCCCAGGGCCCTTTTCTGGTGGAATCTCTGCAGTACCTTCTTGAACCAAGTCTGGGTTTCCATGGGTACAGGCCCCCCAAGTGCCCCTGTCTGCCCCTAGGTCACCACAGACCTGCACCACCAGTGCACGGACAAACACACGGGCACCTCGGCCTCGGCCCCGCTGGCTGCGGGCATGATCGCCCTGGCTCTGGAGGCCAAGTAGGTGACGGAGGGGAGCCCGCTTACCGCGCTCACCCCCCAGCGTGGCCCCAGCTCACCTGCCCTCACCTGCCCCCAGCCCGTTCTTGACGTGGAGGGACATGCAGCACCTGGTGGTCCGGGCATCCAGGCCAGCACAGCTCCAGGCTGAGGACTGGAGGACCAACGGTGTGGGACGCCAAGGTGAGGCAAGGCCAGCTGGAGGTGGGGATGCCACGCCCGTGGGGCGAGTGACGACCACCCCTCCGCACAGTGAGCCACCACTATGGCTACGGGCTGCTGGATGCCAGGCTGCTGGTGGACATGGCTCGAACGTGGCTGCCCACACAGCCCCAGCAGAAATGCGCCATCCGGATCATACACACCCCCACGTGAGCGCCCTCCTCAGCCACCCTCTCCCCACTGTGCTCGCCTCTCATCTCCCTACACCTGTCATTACCATGGGGGGGGGGTTGGCAAACACGTGGGAGGCTGGTCCCGAGGCCTCTGCTTACTCATCTATCAAAGGAGAGGGTGAGCCCCACGATCTGAGCCCAGACCCCACCTGCTGGCTGCCCATCCCCCCAGCAGGCCCGCAGGAGGGGCCCTCACCCCCCACGCCACCCCTAGCCCCATCCTGCCGCTGATGCAAGTGAGGAAGAATGTGTCGGCCTGCGCTGGCCGTGCCAACTACATCCGCTCACTGGAGCACGTGCAGGTGCAACTGTCACTGTCCTACAGCCGCCGGGGGGACCTGGAGATCTCGCTCACCAGCCCCATGGGCACCCGCTCCACGCTCGTGGCCATCAGGTACCGGGGCGGAGGACCTGGCCTAGGGCAAATGCACACTGTGGGGTCAGGGAGGGTCTGGGTGGGTCTGCTCCGGCCAGACACCTGCCGCCTGCCCCCCCGCCCGAGCCCTTCCCCCCACCCCATGGGAGCCCTCCCAGCAGCCAACATGTGGCCCGCTCCACCCCCCCCGCCCCCGCCTTCTGTCCCAGACCCTTGGATGTCAGCGGCCAAGGCTACAACAACTGGATCTTCATGTCCACCCACTTCTGGGACGAGGACCCGCAGGGCTTGTGGACTCTGGGCCTGGAAAACAAAGGCTACTATTTCAACACAGGTGAGAGTTGCACGCAGGCTGGGGCCTCGGGCTCTGGAGCCACCCGGGTACCCCACTGCCAAGGGGCTCCCAGTGGTCTCCCCGAGAGGCCGAGCCGGTGTGTCTGGCGCATCGTATGTTCCCATCGGCGTTCGGTGCCCAGTGCACAGTGGGTGCTCAGCCTGGGTGCCGTCTGGGTCTGGGACTCCAGCTTGGGGTCGGGTGGCTGGGGAGAAGGGCCCAGAAGGGCGGGACCAGGCTGCCAACAGCCTCTGCCCCTCCTCCCCGTGCCCACCGCAACCCCTGCCCAGGGACTCTGTACCGCTACACGCTGCTGCTGTATGGGACGGCCGAGGACATGACGGCGCGGCCCCCGGGCCCCCAGGTGACCAGCAGCGCGTGTGTGCAGCGGGACACAGAGGGGCTGTGCCAGGGTGAGTGCCTGGCGTGGCCCGGCCTGCCTGCTGGGAGGTGGCAGCCGCGGGCAGTGTGCGTGTGCAGCCCGGGGCGGGAGGGCAGGCAGGGTGATGGGCCTCGGCCTCACCCCCCCATGTGTGTGTCCCCTGCGCAGAATGCCACAGCCCCGCCTACATCCTGGGCCACCTCTGCCTCTCCTACTGTCCCCCGAGGTACTTCAGCCACACCCAGCAGGCAGTGACCGCTGGGCCAGGGCGCTTGGCCACACCCGCCCTGCGCGTCTGCTCAAGCTGCCACCCCTCCTGCTACACCTGCCGCGGCGGTTCCCCGCTCAACTGCACGACCTGCCCCCCTGCCTACATGTTGGACGAGCATCGGGGCTCCTGCTCGGGACCTGCCCCTCCCAACAGCACCCCCCAGCCCACCGCAGTGGCCCACCCCAGCTGCCACCATGGCCGAGCCCAGGCTGCAGTCCTGGCCTTGCTGGCCATGGCCTTTGGGAGCCCCTTCCTCTGCAGCGTCCTCTCTGTAGGCTGCCTGCCACCACGCGGGGGCCTCCCCCATCACCACCCCAGGTCCGGCTGCTGGCAGGAACCTAGAGACATCTGACGAGGGGCCAGGCACCGCTGTGCTGCTCCTTTGCTTCAGACTGGAACCCGGGCTGGGGCTGCGAGAACCTGCCCTGAGAAGGCTCTGGCTGATCACTGAGGCCCTCAGGCCAGGGGCGGCCTACATGGAACCGTGGACCTGAAATTGGCAGGTCCAGGGGAAAGAGAGAGAGAGAAAAGTCTAGTTACACAGTTTGGGGTGGGGGTGGGGTGGGGTGGGGCAGAGGTCAGGCTGTGACAACCATCCCTTCCCAGCCCCAGAAGTGGGGGGGAGGGGCAAGGGGAGCAAAGACACCATCCAGAGTCTCAGGCACCACGTCCGACCTCAGAGTTTGCAAATAAAGGTTGAATAGGAGGTGCCAAGTCTGCGGTCTCCTTTGGGGAAGGGGCAGGCCCCCCATCCCCATGTCATGCTTGGGGGTTTCCACATGCGTGGAAACTGTCTTCTCCCAGACATCAGGACCCGCAGGACCCAGCGGCCCACAGAGGAAAGGGGGTCAGCCCAGGTTCCAGAGACCCCAGTTGTCGTGGGGGCCCGAGCCAGGTGGAGGGTTGCATTCGTAACTCCCCAAGTTCCCCTCCATCCTGCTGGGCAAGTTTCTCTTTAACACTGAGAACTCACAGAAGCATGATGCTCAAACACTCTTCCACCCACACGCGCGGCCCCGGGGACGGACCCCAAGCCCAGGACGCTCAGGGAGGGAACCAGACACGGAAGGCCACGCGCGGTGTGAGTCCACGTGGGTGACACGCCCAGAACAGGCTCATCCACGGACGGGAAAGGGGCTCGTGGGGGCCCCGGGGGAGAGGGACGGAGAGTGACGGCAGATGGAGATATGGCTTCCTTTTGGGGAGATGGAATGTTCTGGAACCAGACTACGGCGATGGTTGTACACCTTTCTCAAAACCACCGAACAGCACACTTTACACAGGTGGACTGTACGGTGTGTAGCTTACATGCAATTAAGCTGTTAGAAGGCACAGACCCGCCCTCTGCTCAGCCTGTCTTCCCACCCTAGCCGTCAGGGAAGGAGCCCAGGAGGGAGGTCTTAGGGACCGGAGGGGCGACGCCGACCTGCGTCCAGCGTCCCTGGCCAGCTCCCCGGTAACTGGCACAGCCACCCCCCTTGCACGGGCAGTTACTGTGTTCCCACGACAGCCACGTGGGTTGTGCGCCCTGTCCCCTTTTAGCAGAAAACCAGTACTCTGTGTTTTGTGACGCAGCGAGGGGAGCCGGGACAGGACCCCACGCCCACCCCATGCTCTTCCAGGACCCGCGAACCGGGGAGGCTGAGGTCGGGTACTTCTCGGTCCGGTCTGACGGCACTGGAACCCTCGCGGGCGCGGCCCCTTTAAAAGGGGGCGTGGCCTCGCGACGAGGGGCGCACTGGAGCGGGAGGAGGCAGGAAGTGTGCCCCGAGGGCCTGGGGGCGGGGCCGCGCTGCGACCGGAAGCGGAAGTTGGTTTTCAGCGGCGCTGGTGGCTCTATACGCGCGCCAGGTTAAGGCGGTAGGTGCGCTCTAGGCTTTCACAGGGAAACTGAGGCAGAGATGGAGCCGGGCTCTGAAACCCCTGGCCCCATGTTGTCGGTCGTTGGGAGGGCCAGAGGCGAAGCGAACCCGAAGGGGTGGGACAGAGCGGGGCGGGCTTCCCCGGGAACGGGGCTCCGGCGGGTGTGTAGGAGTTTGCTGGGCGGGAGGAAGGGCCCAGGAAAAGGCCGAGAGGTGGACGCCCCGGTCAACGCCCTTTTCTCTCGCCTCCAGGGATGGGTTCCAAGGCCAAGAAGCGAGTGGTGCTGCCCACGCGCCCGGCGCCCCCCACGGTAGAGCAGATCCTGGAGGACGTGCGGGGTGCGCCCTCCGACGACCCCGTTTTCGCCGCGCTGGCCCTGGAAGGTAAGAGCAGGGGAGGGACGACCCTGACACCCCAGCAACAAGGGGCGGGGGGGAGCACACCCCAGCTCCAGCCCGGGCAGCAGGTCCGGTGAAGCCGTGGGGTTCCGAGCGCCATCCGTACCGCTTCTGAGCTCGCTCTGCACGCCTGTGAAGGGGGGCGCACGGATCGGCCCCCGACCCCGGCCAAATCCCGCTCGCCGCCTCTTCTCGTACAGCCTGGCAGCTAAGAGAGCAATTTTCCGGCCCCGCCGGCTCAACCGGGGGAGCCTGCGACTCGATTTGGGGTCGAGCCCCGCGCTGGGTGTGGAGATTAAAGAAAAAAGAGTGGATTTTTCATTTTCACCTGCGGGGGTGAGAACGCGCGGTGACAAGGGAGATGGCAGGAAGTTGGGGTCTCAGGGCCACGAGGTCGAGTGGGCACAGAGCCATGCCCATGGCGTGCATGCCCAGCAGCCGCCCTGGAGGCGTGTGGCAGAGGGCGCATTGGGACGGCCAGCCGCGCAAAGCCGAAATATTTATGCCCGGCATTTTGTGGGAAACCTTCGTCCACCCCTGGTTCTGAAGACAGAAGCATCGGGCGTACAGTTGTCGGGTGAATTTTGTGTTCTGCTTGATAGGGTCCGTGTATTCATTCATCGAACATTCACAGAGACTGTGTTCTGTTGGCCAGGGCTACTGTTCTGAGCACTGGGGCCAACAGTACAGCACACGCCCTCGGGTTACGCTGGTGGAAGAGACATTCACCATTAGTCTGGGAAACCGGAGATGCTAAGAAATGCTTTGGGAATTTAAAAAAAACAAAGTAATAGGAAAAATTTGGTGCTTTGCTCCATGTGGCTGTATTTCATGTGCGCAAGAGCCACTCATGGCCGGTGGCTGGCTCTGTATCGGACCGGAATGTTCTGTTGCACGGGGCAGCCCCATGGAGCGTGTCCACCAGCGTTCCCAGGGAGGGGACACTGAGGCCCAGGCTGTGCGAGGGCCCGCAGAGGGGGAGCTTGCCTGCGACCGTGTGTGTTGTGTGGCCTGTGTCCCTCCTTAGTACCGACACAGGTGATAAAGTGACTTGAAATCAAAGACCGGGGAACCAGGCAGGGTGGAGAGCATCTCGACATGCCTCTGGGCAGCCTGCAACCCTTGCTGTCCTGCACTGCTCTCCCCAGGCCTGTGCTGTTTTAGGAAGCAGGGGCACGGGGAACTGGGCCACCTCCCTGACTGTTGGATTTCACAAGGTTGCGCGGCCAGGGAGGAGGTTTGGGGAGGCACGACGCAGCATCTGGCTTTCAGAGCAGGGTGGGAGCCAGCCTGCTCTGTGATTCCATCATGGGGTCGCCACCCTCTGCAGGAGTGGAGGCCGGATACCCAGGCAGGGCCTCAGGACACAGGTGCCAGGCTTTTTCAGGGACCCGTCCCCTCCAGGGGCGTGCTCTGCTGAGGGGGTAAGCTGTGTCCTCTCTCTGCCCCTCCCTGACCCGTGCGCCGTGTGCCGTCCCCAGACTCCCTAGGCCTCTCTGGGAGGGCGGAGGACACGGAGGCCCAGCGGGAACAGCTCTACCAGCAGAGCCGAGCCTACGTCGCCATGAATCAGCGGCTGCAGCAGGCGGGCGATAGGCTGAAGGAGAAGTGTGAGGAGCTGTGGCGAGCTGGTGAGGAGCTGGAACGAGACGTCGGCCAGGTGAAGCAAGTGGCGCTGCCGGGAGCCATGGCCGCCTCCTTGGGCTGAGCAGTCTGCCTGCTTGCCTGCCCTGGGCGGGGCGCCCCCGGCTCCCCGTGACCCCTGACCTGGCACAGCTTAAGCCCCCCGGGTCCCATGGTCTGTGTGTGCCCTGGTACCCAGAGAGCCCCGGGGACACAGCCGGGCACGGGCGCCTCTCTGGGGGTCAGGCCTGGGACCTGGTGTGGCTGCTGCTCACCCCGGGGCCATGGGGCCCAGACAGGACTTCATGTGGGGTCCCCAGCACCCGAGGGCCAGACGGTCCACCCTCCTCTCCTTCCCTCTGGGGACTCTGCTTCCCCGCATTGTCCCCAATAGACTGAGCTGGTGGGACCCACTCTGCTGCCTCTGTCCATCTCTGTCTGAACTGCAGGGCCCCCGAGATTCCCGAGGAGGCCGGGGGTTCTGTTCCCTCCACCACAGTGGCTGTGGCTATGAGAGGAGCCGTTGCCCGGCAGGGCCCAGATGTGAGATGGGGCCTCTGGTGGGTGCCGCCCCTGAGCACCCTGACCTAAGGTGTGGGCATTCCCTCAGGGCAAGTTCACGGTCGGGGTGCGGGGCTGGCCTGGGAGCTGTGGGACTGCATCACACGGGGCTCCTGGCCGGGCTCCACGAGGACAAGCTGGCCTGTCTCCCACGCGAGCCCTTGCTGGCTGCCTCCATCCTGGCAAGCTTCGCCTGTGGGTGGGTGTGGGGACCACGGAATAGAAGCAGATCTTGAAAAGGGCTTTTCACCCTAAAAGACAGACTTTCAGAAGACCAGGGCAACAGTGGCTGCAAGAGGCATCACAGAAGCCAGGCTGCTTGGGGGTGCCCCCACTGAGCCCCTCAGGTGCGATCTGCTCTGTACCTGGCCCCTGCACAGTGCCTCTGTGAACTGCCCTCTCCTGGGGTCCCTGGAAGCTCCGGGGCAGCATGGTGGGGCATCCCGGAGGTGTTTTTCTTTCCCTGAAGAAGGGGAGTCTGCTTAAGCCTGAGAGACCCCCAAAACCGGGAACCAGAAAGGAGGCCTGGGGGCACAAGTGTACAGAAAGCTCAGGCTTGGCTCCCATGATGGCAGTGGACGCCAAGACCGTCCTCTCCAGGCTGGGCCCCCTTGCTCATCAGCACCCTTCCACAGCTGCTAACAGCCCGCCCGGTGTGAGGCGCCTCACCCCTCCCTGCTTGGCCCTGGTCTCCGGGCACTGCCTGGCTCTGAAGTGCTGTCTGCTCTCCGGAGACCCCCCGCCACCAGGGGTCAGGCAGGGGCGCCCGCACTGACCTCGCTGTGCTGCCGTCCCAGGGGCCAGGCCACATTGCAGCTGTGCCTCCAGGGATCTGCCCGAGGAGGATTTCTGAAAGGTGTTCTAGCGTGTTGGCTCCTGGCGGAGGCCAGGCCCCTCCCAGCCCCACCCCACCCGCGCCCCTTGGAAATAGAGCCACAGGCAGCAGAGCGCGGTTCGACAGCTGGGTTTATTAAAGGTGCGCGTAAGACGCCTGGCTCCGCGGGTTCCTTCGGCCAGACGATGGCTGTGAGGTTAGTGGGGGCAGGTGGGGCTGTATTTACACATGTCCTGTAGTGCTGCAGAGACGAGCAGAGACGCAGGGGGATGGACGCAGACAGCCAGGCTCGGGCTGGGGGGGCGTGTGGCCGCCAGCCGGGTGACAGGGGTGGGGGGCAGCAGGGGTGAGGTAATGCCACTCCAGCAGGCAGCCCCAAATTCAGCACCCAGCTAGTGGTGGTGTCCATCCGGCCCAGGGTCCAAAGTCACAGGCCTGGGCTCCCAGGCGTTCCTGTCGGGCTTGCCCCAGGAGTGCTCCAGAGGCAGATGAGCCCTTCACGGTTCCCTTGGTGGGTGGCTCGGTTGGTCCTTCGGGTCCTGAGACCTTAGGCGTCCAGCTCCCGACTCAGGTTGATTGTCGGTGACCGCCACCTGCCGCCGCCCGCCGCCCGCGCAGGCTGGATGATGAGGTGTGGCTGTGCCCCCACACAGGGGGCTGGGAAAGGCAAAAGTGGCTGCCGGGCGTGGACGGGACATGGGCCCCCTGGGTGCCGCCGAGGTGGAGCTGCCCTCCTGCCCTGCCTGTGGAGAGGATATGCCCGCGGCCAGATGGGCAGGGGCAGCAGCGAGGGAGTGTCCCGAAGCACAGGTCTCCCCCGGGCATGGTGGTCTCTCCACTCGCCCAAGAGGTAGCTCTGGGAGTTCCCTCCACGGCCCACGTGGGGAAACTGAGGCACAGAGCGGCGGAAGCACTGCCCAGGGTCTCACAGTGCACGAAGCCGTGGGCCCCTGTGGCCGGACGAGCTGGAGTTGGGTCCGCAGCTGCTTCCCCCCACCAGGCCGTCGCGGGGAGCACCTGCCCTGTGGAGATGCAAGCACGATGTCTGGCAGTCCCCAAATCCAGAAAGGAGCTTGGAGGAGCCCCAGTCCCAGCCCTCCAGGCTACAGGGGGGACCGGGACTGGCGGTTTCTGAGAAGAGTCTGAGACACTCCGGTGTGTCCCCAGGGGTGGGCTGTGGCCATTCGCAGCTGGCTCAGCCACCGTCACTGCCTCCGCTGCCGGCCACCCTGCCTCCTGCCTTTGGGCCGGGCCCCGGCTCCCGTCGCACGGGACGGGGCGTTGGTGATGCAATATGACAGCAGCAGGGTGTCCGTGGGGTCTGGGATCAGCACAGCTCACAAGGGTTTCCCATGAGGACCGTCAGCCACAGGAAACACTTCGGGTAATGGGGCGGGACAGTGGTGTCTGCAGGCGGGCCTCACCACGGCGCACCTCCTCCAGAGAAGGGACTTGGGTGGCCACGTCCTGTCTATTCTAACAGCATCGGCTCCGGGCGGGGAGTGGCACGGCGGCTGTCACAGCAGATCCGCTTGCCTAGAGCAGCTTCTCCCCAGAGCCTCCGTGCGCAGGAAAGAGGTCGTTGGCTCTTTCTGCAAGGAGGTGCCCTTGGAGCCGACCCCGAACACCTGCGCGGACGGCCCCTGAGCAGCCTGGTGGGGGGAGGGGAAGAAGTGAGGCCTCCGGGCTCGCTGTCCCTCCGTCTGTCCGCCTCCAGCTCCAGGGCAACAACACTCTAGCACCCGGTGGCAAGCATCCCCCGCGCCCGCCGCTACAGTGCTGTCCCGAGGAGGAGATGGTGCGCCTGGCGGAGTCCGGGGAGCACAGCACTGTGTGTGTGGCGAAGGAGAAGGGAATTGAAAAGCCGGGCAGCCGCCTTCAGGGACATCCCTCCACACGCTTCCTCCCACAGGGTGCGCTCGCAGACCCTGGCAGCATCCCAGCACCCGCACACCCCCTCCCCCCCTGAGGGTCGCCCTGCGATGCCCCTTCCCACTGCACCGCGCCCAGCTCCAGGGCCCTCCTTCCCCCATCCAGGGCTCTGTCTGCGCCTGCCGCTGGTGCACCGGCCGGTCCCTGTCCGTCCAGGCTGCTCCAACTCCCTAGGCGGCACTGTCTGGGGCGGGGGCTTTGAGTCAGGCTCGGCCACTCCCCGCCCCCACACTCCCCAGCTGGGAATGAGAAGGCAAACAAACCCGCAAAGTCATCATTAACCAATTACCGGGCCTCCAAAATTACAGGCTTCGTCCCAGCGTAGGCTGGCCCCCAGCTGGCAGGCGCTTGCTTAATGGGGCCACCCTCCCCAGCCCTATCCCCCACCTTGGGCGGGCTCTGTCACCTCCCTGCGGCTCCTGACATGGGAGGGGCTTGCTGAGGCTTGGGCCCAGTGGAGCTCGGGGCCCTGGAGCATGCTGCAGAGGGCGGCCCAGGCTGGGAGGGTGGTCTCTGCGTGGGGGCCAGACGGCCTCGCTGTGTGCACTCCAGGCTGGGACTGGAGGTCCAGCCGGCAGCCCCGTTCCCCTCCAGAGCCCCCACAGCACGGAAGCAAGCGTCTATGCGTGAGATGTGAGGCCAATGCAGGCTGCAGTGGGGCTCCAAGGGCACGGGCTCTGGTGGGTAGATGGACCGTGGGACCACCCTCCAGGCAGCCAGACCAGCCCTTGGCCAGGAAAGGATGTTCTAGAAGGCCGGCCCTGGCCACTATTCCAGGAGGCTGGTGGGGGCAGCGGTGGGGGCTTTCTCTGCAGCCAAGTCAGTGGTGGCTGCCACCATGGGGCTGGGCACATAGTTGAAGGGGGAGACACGGGCCGAGCGGCTTGGGGAGCCGTGCCGGCTGGCAGGAAAGCCCCCTGCAGCCACCCCCAGGCCCTCATGGACAAAGGGAGCAGAGGTGGGCGCCTTGGTGGGACCGGGCCCGTCCACATCGCTGCCAGAGAGGGCAGTGGGGCCGCTAACTGGGGCCTGGGGGGGCCCCCTGCTTTCCAGGCTCGGAGACGTGCTGGAGTTGGTCTTAGTGGCAGCAAAGTCCTCCGTCTGGACCACGGCATCGCTGGTCTTGCGCTGTGGGGGGCCGCTGGGGCCCTCCTCGGATGGGGCACCCATCAGTGGCAGGGCAGTGGCGGGCAGCGTGCTCCGCAGGATATGTGGAACGTCCTCGTCCCGGATGCGACGCCACGTGGTGCCCGGAGCCGCCACCCTTGGCAGTGGCCGGGCCTCCCCATCGCTGCTGCGGCGGGCAGCGTCCGTGGTGGACCCAGGGGCGGCTGTGTCGGGCCTGCGGGCCACGCTGATGTGCGGCAGAGAGGCGTAGCGTTTGACCGTCTCGGGCCGGGTGGCCGGGGTGCGGACAGGCAGGCGGGATGGGCTCTCAGAGCTGGGGCGCCGGGCCGGCCGCTCACTGGGACTGGGCCTAGCCACGGGGGCTCGCTGGGGGACCGGAACCTGCCGGGGGGCTGCCCGCAGCTCGTCGCAGCGCGAGGAGCAGAGGAAGACGGCGGGCAGCGCAGGTCGAGTGCGGTGGGGTGAGCCGCCCTGGGAGGCGGGGGGCGCAGCCTCGGGAGCGGACAGTTCTGAACGGCGGCGGCGCAGCAGGCCCGGGGACTCCTTGATAAAGGTCAGCTGCCGCCGGAAACCCGAGCGGTCGGAGGACTCGCTGCCGCTGGAGCGGGCAGAGGCCATGCGCACCAGGC